ATAGAATCTTTTTGAAAAAACAAATGAGTTTTTTAAATACTTTGAGGTGAGAAAATTTTTTTTAAAATTTTACCAGATTGAAGGAGAAATCTTAAGAAATTTTTTAATATTTATATAATAAAATTTAATTAAAGTAAAAGTCTGTTTAATTAAGACCATTTTAGGATAATACAAAATTAATTGGTACCATTTTTAGACAGGTGTTATAGAAGTGTTAATCCTTTTATTGTACTCATGAAATTAGCTTTACAATATAGATCAAAACCTATCCTTTTTAAGAAATATTACTTGAACTTAGTAGTTCTTTAAAAGTGGTAGATTCAATTGGTAGCCAATTGCAATTAACTAAAAAATATTGATGATGACTCATTTTTTTTACGTTTAGCAATCGAGTTCCCAGATTCGAATATTATAACCGCCATTAAAATTATGAAAAATATTGATATATTATTGTAAAATTTGTACTTTCTAATTATGAACTAATCTATCCTTTAGGAAAACTTTATTTTTGTTAAATTTCAAAAGTCAGACAACTTTATAAAGTTAAAAAGAATAATAAAAATGCAATTTCATATTTATAACTTTACAAAGAAAAACAAATTAAATTAAACAATTTAGAAAAAGAAAACAAGTTTAAAATGAAAAAAAAAACATATAAAGAAGATGATTACCTTTTACTTGCAATTAAAGTATTATGAGAATTATAAAGTATTAGAAGGCTTATATTTAAAGTATTATGTGATCAATATGCTTTTAACATATTGAATTTTTTTTTTAAATGTCATCGGAATCTCCTAACAAATGAATACTACTTAAGTAAAAAAATTAAATTAATTAAAGATTCAATCTCTTTTAAAAACTAAACAACAAATATGGATTTTTAACAAAATGAAATATAATTGACTTACTCGACTTAAACACTTTGACTTTATCTGAGAACATAAATTCTTTTTGACAATGTATTGCTTCCTTTGGATTTGATTGGGAATATATAATTTAACCAATCTTTATGCAAAATGAGAAACCCATATACATTGGAGAAAACAAAAGACACTATTAACGAAGTCAAAATGAGAATTATTCATGGAATTATTAAACATATGTAATCACATCTAATATGCAAAAACCTTAGTAAGATGCAATGTACATTATATGTTTTATAATTCTCTTACTTTTTTCTCCTTTATTGCATGCGTGTGTGGGGTGGAAAAGAATGACATGAAAATGCAATCTTCAAAATAATAAAAAGCATGATTGAGAATATGCAAGTATACAAAACCGAAACAAGTAATATAAAATAAATAGAGTATCATTCCCATGGAGAATGAAATATATGGAAGAGAACTAAGTATTGAAACTATTCACCCTTAATTATATCCAAAATAGAACTTGAAGAGCATGAATTACGAGATTTAAAAGCACTTAAAAAGAGAAAATAGAAATTGAATTGAACTGAAAGCAAGAACAAAAATTTAAGAAAGCTTAAATTGATTGAAACAAAACAGAACTTGGATTTAAAAAAAAACTAAAATTGAATATTTCTTAAACTTAAATAACTTTAAAAAAGCTTAAAAACATGAAAAATAAAGAATAAGAAAACTTAAAGAAGCCAACTATTTCAGATTAGGCTGTCACTCCAAATCCTACTTCAAATTTTCTCAAAATAAATGATAGTTATTTATAGAACAAGAATCTTAAAATTAGAAGGATTGGTATATAATGCCTAAGGCTTTTTTAAGAGAAAATAGTACTTTTTAATTACTTTTAAACCCTCAGTAGCCTTTTTGAATAAAAACTTTAATTTGGACTAGGCTTTAGCACTTCATGGACCTTTTTTAAATTGGGTTAAGTCTTCTTGAATAATAGAATGGACAATTATTCTTTCTTCTTGATAGCCAAGAATCTTGATATCTTTTGGGCTCTTTTAGGACAACTTATTCCATTAGGCTTGAATCTTGAAATCAATTGGTCATAGATTAGACTTTTAAAGTTTGGATTTATCTTCTAGTTGAAGAGTTCTTGGAGAAGAGAGAAGTAAAATTCTGAGTTGTGTCCTTTTCATATGCTACCCTTTTTTATAGTGTTTTTATTTTATCATTATGCAAATCCTATTTTTGGTAGGAATACCCATTCAAAATAGGATTTTTAGTCAACTTAGGAAAGACAACTCTAAGTAGATAACCAAGTGCTTTTCCTAATTAAGGTAGGAATTCCAAGTATAGATATAACTACCAAATCATCATGCCATATAAGCCCCCAAATCATGTCTTTAGGCTAATAAAAAAAGATTTATTGTCATGTCATCAATTAGTAATCCCATGCATTGTGTACTATGTAAAACACCATGAGCTTGAATTTAACTTGAAATTACACATTTATCCCTAATCATAGCCAAACATCCCTTATACAATTTTTGTATAAATTTTTTAAAATTTTCAACAAGATTCATCAATTCTAATGTCAATAAGTTCAACAAAGCAAATCTTGTAGAAATTTATCAATCCAACTTCAAGATTTCCAAAAATCAACTAGAACACAGCAAGAATGGTCCAAGATTACTCCAAATGTATTAAGAATCATCCAAGAGTGATCAAGAATCTCCAAAATTCTTCAAGATTCACCAAGATTCAATATTTCTTCAAGATTTCTTACAAAACAACAAATTAAACACATTAGGAGTAAAATGATCTTTATTTAGCTAAGAACTAAGCAAAATTAACTCATTTAAACACAAAGATATGTCTAATCACTCTATTTCATATAATTATCAAAGGACAATAATTAAGCAAAATAAGGGAGAAATTTTCCTCAAGTAATGGACCTATTATTACCCAAATGTTATTGGAATTTCTTAATAGATGAATACTACTTTAGTTTGAAAAAATAAATTAATTGAAGTATCAATCTCTATTACCTGAGAGCATAAATTTTTTTAGTTAATCCTTCATCTTGATTTGATTGGCAATTAAAGGCTTTTTTTTATCTCTCGAATGACTTTTCAAAATAGGATTAATATTTTCTTCTTTAAGTTTGGCTAGAGAAGGGGTTTTTATTACTTTTTGTTTCTTTAGGAGAAATGCTTGGACAATAATTTCAATCAAAAGAGGTGAAAAAGATATGAGATTTTTGGGTGTGTTTGAACCTCTAGATTGTTCTTCTTTCATCTCTCTTTCTTTCTTTCTTTTCGTTTCTCCTCTGATTTCAAAGTCATTGGCTATCTTTAGAATTCTCATCTTTTATTTTCTTTTTCCTTCTCTATCCCTTATATTTTTCTTTCTTTTTCCCCATTTGCAATCCTTCATTTATTCTTTCTCATGTTTTTACATTTCTAGAGTCTTCTTCTTCTTTCAAATTAATATAATAAAAATAATAACTTATAAAACAACTAATGAAAAGATAACAAATAGCTTAAAATTGGTTGTCTTATAAATAGTGCATGAATAATAATAATTGAGAAGTTATTTTGAATAATAGTTATAGATCTCCATAATAAAAAAAAAACTTATATAAAATATAAAAAAATTTATTTTGAAATTGAGAAAACTAAAAATCAAATGATAAATAATCAAATATATAAAAAAAACTAAAATAAATTAAAATACAAAATCAATATATGGATTTATTAAATTTGAATGCAAATTGAAAAAAAAAAATTTAGACATCTTTTTACAATATAAAACTTATAAAGAGCATTTGGATGAAACTTTGGTGTATTTTTTGGTTAATTTTTAGAGCGCGTTTGTATAAAAAAATTTGAAATCTTGAAAAATTTTGAAATTAAAACATTTTAAAATATATGAATTCAAAATAACAACACTTATAATTTTATTATTTGGATAAATATTTTTTAGAAATACATTTGTTTATATAAATTTAATTAGATAAAGAATAATTGTACAAAAAATAAGCATGCAATATGAGTATTATAAGAATTCTAAAATTATATAAATATTATCAATACAAATGAAAAAAATTAAAAATACTGATATTTTGTTTTTGAATATGATTTTGTTGGCTAAATAAATGGCACCAACAAGAAGAGGGTTGGTTGGAGGTAAGAGTGACCAATAATTCGATTCGATTAATTTTGAATCAAATTATTTAAAATCGGATTAATCAAATTATATTATTTTATTTTTGTTAATCGAATCAAATTTATTATTTTAAAAATTAATCAATCGAATTTAATTTGATCAATTCGATTAATTTTTTTGATTAATAAAATAATAAAATGCATTTAAATTAAATTTTATTTTAAATTTTAAATTTTTCATATTTAAAATAAATTAAATAAAATCATTCAACAAAATATTCAAATACCAAGTATTAAGTTAAAAACTTTAACAACTTATAAAATGAAATGGTCAATTTCATGAATTTTAATTTTATATTTGAGTTTTTATATTCAATTAAAATTTTGATTAATTCAACTAGAATTAATTGAAAACCAAAATTATTTTAAAATTATTTTTAATAATTTATTGAAATTAATTTAAAGATTGACCAATTAATTAATTTAAATCAATTTAATCAATTAATTTGATTAAAATTAAATACCTTTAATTGGAGGATTTCCAAAACCTAAGGATTTGAGGTGCTTTAATCTCCCTTTCAAACTCTCTTATATTCTCAAATGAATTAATATCATGAATGAATTATAAATTATATTAAAAAATTTAATATGATATTTAAAAATTTTTAGTATAATATTTAAATTATAAATTTAATAATTAATATAATATTTACTTTTAATAATGATAATAAATAACTGATAAATAATTTTTTAAATATCACATTGATTAATAAATTTATAATTTAACTAATATACTAAAATTTTTAAAATTTAAATAATATAGTAAATATTTTATTATAATTTAAGAGTTATACGATTCTTCAAACTCGGTTTTTGCCCAACCGTGTGAATGAAGAAATTAAATAACGCCCAGTCGAGCCTAATACGGATACCGCCCCACGCTCTCCTTCTTTATATTTATCTTATATTTATTATATTTTTATCATTTAGCCATATTAAAACGGAAACCCTCCAAAATTTCAAAGCCCCGAAATCCAAATAATTAAAAAAAAGTCCGCCAACTTATCCACACGACTCAGCACCACCGTCTCACGAGCTATGGACGATTCCATAACTATCGACGGCTCCAATCAGGACTTGGCACTCTCCAAGTCGGAGTTCCTGAGTCGGCAAGAGGTTCTTCGTCGGCGGTCGCGGCGGGTGAAGCAGTTGGGGAGGCTCTATAAAGATCACTACTGGAATCTAATGGAGGAGCTAAAAAGAAAGCACAAGGAGTACTATTGGGTGTACGGAAAGAGCCCATTCAAAGAAGACGAAAAGAACAGCACGGAAGAGAACGATGGAAAGAAGTTAGGGTTAGGGTTGCAGTTGAAGTGTCAGATTTCAGATTGTAAAGAGAAAGCGATGGCGTTGACGAGGTTTTGCCTTAAGCATATTTTAAAAGATTCAAATCAGATACTTTATCGTGGCTGTAATTTTCCTATCAAGAGGTTTGTTCTTCTCTTTCTATAATTTTAACGATTTCTTTTCTTTTCTTAAGTATGATTTCTTTGTAGGTTGAATTAGGGTTTAATCTTTAATTTATTTATGAATTAGGATTTTTTGTCGATCTTGGAAAAATAATTATGCACTTGGATTTACGGGCTTTGGCAATTTAACTTAATAAAGAATGAGTCTTCTATAAGATTTTGATCCCCTGCAATGATTTATGGAGTCTTGGGGACGAACTTTAAGAATATCAACACTAAATTCAGACTTTTTTTATCTTTTGGTTACTTGTGGGACAACACCTTCATACTAACAAATATAAGCGAGTTTTCTGTAATTTGAGTATATGCTATTTTTTCAACCCCAATTTTATGGATGGAAAAATTTGCTTGGTTAGACTGTTCACAAGTTTAGTTATGCTTGGTATGTTGAATTAATGAAGGTATTTTTCACGTTCTCTAGTTAAATTTGACTTAAAATGGAATTTAAATGCCATTGGAACTATGTTGCCATTGCAAGCATGTTGTGTATTCTAATAGAAGAAGTCTTTATGGTTGATATGATTGGTATTAAGGGAGAATGCCATTAATTAATTATAAGGTCACATTTATGATGCATTTAGTACACAAGATTATTATAGGATAGGATAAGATGATATTATGAATAGGATTAGATTAAATAATGTCATCCTATCTTTTAATTGATATATGCAAAGACTAGGATAAGATAATTAATTTATTAGTCAAAATTATCCTTCTTCAAAGTTTATACAATTTAAATTATTGATATAATTTTTAAGGGTATAATAGATATGTATGTTCAATCCCATGGATTAAAAATAATCCTCTCCACTTTGAGAGGATTGAATCATCCTATACCAAGAGGATGATTAATCTTGCTTATGATCTTATTTCTTTAGATACAAACTAAATATCATATAAAATAATTAGCATTGTATCTTATCAACCATCCTATGCACCAAACATGACCTTAGTGTACAAGATTGTGTATAAGATAGGATAAAGGGTTTAAGATAATATTGATGGGTAAATTGTCCTCGATTCATAAACCTGTGCCCCAAAGACAGTTTACAAGAAAGAAATAATCTATAGAAAAATGTGAAGTGGTAGTTGGTGGAATACAGTATTAAAGAGAGTTTGGCTTTGTTTGCCACAATTCCAGTTCTACACCAGCGAGCCATCTTTTAAAAACATTCCAGAAATTTGGATTACTCTTAAACTCTGTTGTGGATGTGAGAACTAATCCTTTCTGTTACTTTCATAGTCTCAACATTCGACTGCACTGATTTTAGTGTCCTTTGATGTTATTTCAGTCATTTAGGGTAATATTTGATTAAATTGTAAAAATTGATAAAATTTGGTGCTTGGGTCTATTGGGATGTAATAATCACATGCTTGGCATGGGATTTTACATTTTTAATTTATTTAGTAGAATAGGTTAAATCATGTATGGAATTTTTGGACCCTGGCACATGTTGGCTAGACCATATTTATATAAAGTTCTGTGATGTTTGCACCTGGAATTAATACTTGGGTGTCAATATTTTTTTATCACCTATGTAAATGACTAAACTAGGCTATTGGTGGGATCTGTGTTGCTTTCTCCATTTTAAACATTTGGTATGTGCATGCTAGCGGACACATTCAGGTACATAATTTTAGGTATTGTCTTATAGGTGCCAATGGTTATCGTACCTCTTCTCCCCTACGATAGTAATTGCATCATTTGTCATTAGCTTTATTTCTTGTGTAGGTTGTTATATTGGATAACCATGTTCTCCTATGTCAGTTCCTGTGCTCTATATTTGGGTTTGTGTTTCTTGTATTTGGATAGAGTACTTGTTTACAACTTTTTTGCATGTGGTGTATGTGTTCCAAAGGTTGACTTGTATAATATGTTGCTTATAGTAAATTTTACAAACTATATCTTCTGTGTATTCAGTGGGCAGATATGCAATAAACCAGTGCTAAGATCCATTACTCCTCCTCATTGCCCTGTTCATGCTCAAGCGGCTGAAAAATATCTTACACGAGCATTGAAAAGGGCAGGCCTCAATGTCACTTCACCAAATAAGCTTGCTCCCAAGTTGCACGTTGTTGTTGCTGAGTATGTTCACCAGATTCAAAATAAAAGAAGAGCTGCACAACAAAAAGCTATGCCCAAAATCAAGATTGAGAAAACTAGTGAAAGCTGAATATTTTTCTGCAAAAACATGTTAAGCCAACAGAATTAGGTAGTCTATTGCTGCTGGTGGTGCTTACATATTTCAGTCTGGGTCTAGTAGTGTATCCAATTGAGTGGAGTTAGAGTAAGATACTGTGCAACACTGGATTTGTGCATTGGAGATGATTATTTCTGCATATGATGTGAAGGTAGCTTTTCGCTGCTGCTCTCTTTTTCTATTTTTGTTGCATTTTGATGATAAGTTCATTTATGTGCTTTGGTCCTGAAAAAATGCCTTATTCCTTATACTTGGCAAATAAAGAACTCAAACTATTACCAAATGTTTTCCTGTGTATTTCCCATGTACTAGAATTTCACTCATTTATTTGGAATTTCACACTGTTGGTCTATATGTGTGTCAAAAACTTTCATTTGGGGCCTAATTATGGAATGACAGAATCTGTGGCTTGCATTTTACTTGTATTTGCTTTTACTGGTTAAATATGATATATGCTTTAGTTCTCCTAGGCTTTGTTTGGCATTGCTTTTTCTGTTGAAAACTGTGGTCTAGTTAAAAAGTGTCATTTGAAATTTGTAGCGAATAAGTGATGTTTGAAACTTGCAATGTTTGGCATTGCTGTGAGAAGGCGTTGTTGTGAGATCAAATGTCAAAACGGGACATAATATTGTAAATTTGTGGAAAAACATAATAAGTATATAAAAGTATTTTCTAGCTGAAGACCACTTCTCAAATTTTTGGTTTGAAAAGCACCTTTCAACCTTAAAAGCCAAAATTTTTCCAACTTGAAGAATGTTTGGCATTGACATTATTTTTAAAAGCACTTCCAACCTTTATGCCATGCTCACCCTTAGAGTGGTGACTCAATGCAAAAACTACTAAAGAACATGATGGCTTTGATATCATCCACTAAGATCTTACTTTTTGCAGGCTGTGAATGGATTATGATCCCGTTTTTCTTTAACTTGAGATAAAGTTCTTGCAATCTCTGTATGGCACTTGCTAAGTTGTCCATTTTTATCATTGATCATATTGTGTGTCATATTCTCAAACATTCCAACTATTTCAGGTTTTCTCGTAACACCAATCAAGATGGTTAGCTAAGTTAAATGGTGGTGTTTTTGGTGTATTTGGTTAAAGCTGACATATAAATTAGGCAAGACATGTAAGGGTGCAGCAGGTTCCTGTTCAACTTTCGCACCATGATACCTATATGTTTTGATATCTTTGCTGTGGAATTTTATATGTTTCTAGAATATAACTTCCCTTTTGTTTGAATATTGTTTCTTATGTTGGTACGTTTTCACTTTTGTTCCTCTAATGAAGTGGGAAAATTATACCCCCTCTCGAATATTTTTTGGCCACGTTTGACTTGGCACTGTTTAAGAAAAAAGTTTTCACTTTATTACATTTTATATTAAAAGTTTTTAGAATATTGGTGTCCAGTTGCTTTTAATGTCAAAAGACAAAAGAGCAGCCATGGAATACTAATATAAAATACGGAAAAAGTACAAGTACTATTTGTTCAAAAAAAGGAAGAGGATTATATTTTGAGACAACCCAAAAGGACAAATGGACAAAGAAAGTTGAAGAGGAGGAAGTGCTAACCTAAGAGAGTGGTACATACATTCTGAAATTACATTATTGGTTACATGTCAAATTTTGTTTTTGTTTTGGGAGACATTTGCATGCCTTTGAGATAAGCATGTATGAACTGAGCTTGAGTAAGCATATCCCGGAATCCTAACAATAAGTTTAGGGAAATAAATATTCAAGGATGAGAGTTATGATGGTGAAGAATGTTAGTTGTAAAAGGTTTCTAATTTACTTAAGTTATAATGCTTTCAAAGTATAAATAAAAATCTGTGCTTGTCATGTTAATTTGGCTGTAGAATGTTAAGTGTGTTGGAAAATATTTGGTGGCAGGAATAACTGATTTAGATGGCATTGCAGTGTAATATTATCAATACCTGGTATTACATATGCAGACCTTGTATGTAGACACAAGTATATGATTTTGATTTTGATAGACATAAGAATATAATTTATTTCATATCCCTTGTACAATCTAGAGTGTGTCTTGAGTTATGTACAAGTAATAATATACTAAGTAAAATACTTGCTATAAAAATTGATATGTGGGCTTATGATAAACCTTAAAATTGTTTAGAAGTTATCTCTGCTAATGATAAACTCTATGACTGAGTTTGGTATCACAAGTCAAGTACATCAACTTGGTGAATTGACAAAAAAATATCAAATCACAAAATGACAAATATGTATTAATAAGGCCATCTTAGTTATTTATTTTTCCTTGAAAGTAGGATTAGGATCCATATTCTTAAACCATTTCTGTTCCTACATTTTCTCTAGTCTAGAAAGCTGTAGTTTTCCAACTTTCTTTAATCTTTTTCATTTTAAGATAACTATACATTCTTTTCCTTTTTTCTGTGGCCCTCTTAATATTTATTTAAATAATCAAATTATTTTTCTATTTCACCTACATTGTGGATGTGCGTAGAACTAGTTCTTTACTCAATATATATACATTTACATGCATTGAAAACTTATTTATGGTGAGAAACAATCATTTCTCCAACAGCGACTGTGTTTTTAGGTTATAAAGCAATTAAGCCAATAGCGATTAATGTCTTTTGGACCTCAAGGTTCAACTTTAATTCAAGTTCATAAAATGTGGTAAGGAATATTATATGATGGCCAAATATGTTCACATATCAGTCTCCAAATTCCTCAACATGAAAGCTTGCATGACATTTCTGTGTCAAGCATGATAACTTGTTTTAGTGCTAAGAATCAAGATATATGTAGAAGCATAAAAGACATCCAACTATTTCTGATTGGTTATTCAGAATTATTAGACGGTCATTCAGAATTATTAGAGCTATAGTTCTTTCCTGAAACAAAATTTACTTCTTATAGGATAATAGTCATACATGTGTAAAGCAAAGTCCAAGCTATCTGCTTACAGAGCCTGTTCTGCTCCTAAACTGAAAGTCAAAATAGAAGTGTGTAGAAGATATTTTGCTCCCCACTTCCCCTTTTCTTTTCCTTCTTTCACACTATGTTTGGTAGAGAGGAAGGAGAATGGAGGAAAGGGAAAAAGGTGAGAAAAGGAAAAAGGAAGGAGGAAGTAAATTTATTTTTACTTCATTGTGCTTGCTATGCAGGATGGAAAATAGAGAGAAAGAAAGATGGTAGGGGCAAAGTGAAAATAAAATTGTTAATTTAAATTGAATGATTATTTTTTCTTTCCCACATTTGGAGTGATTGGATTTGGAGGGAAGGGAAATGTGCAACTCTACTCATTTTCCTTCTTTCTTCCTATTTTCCTCCTATCAAACGAAGGAAAGAATGGAAAGAAATTAGTTTTTCCTTTCACCCTTTTTTGTTCCTTCGTCTTGCCCTCCTGCCCTCCTACCAAACATTGTAAATGTTGTGCACAAGTGAAAAAGAGAAGGATTTTGATTCCTTGGTAGAATATTCATAGTATGCTGTGATTGAACAGTAAAAGGTTCCAAATTTTCTGTGATGTGAAGTTTGTAGTTGTTTCTTTTTAATTATCGTTATATAATTATTTATTTTATTTCATTTCTTTTTCATGTTAAATCCACTATCAATTATTTGTTACTGGAGTTAAAGAAATTTCTTGGCATAATTTCATCATTTAACCAAAAGGCTCTTGGAAATCCATTGTACCTTGTGCATGAAGTCTTCAAGACAACGTCTTCTGATTTATCAGTCAGTGATTCCTTATGAAAGGAATCCTGTTCGTGTTCCTCACCACTAACCAAAAGGTTTTTGATAACATCCCTTGTATTTATTCCATGCATCGCACAGATTTGTATAACAGTATAAGAATGTGGGTCTTACACATTGTTTTTATTCAATGCCCAAAATGAATAGTGAGGATTGCAGGTTGCAACAGAAATTCTGTGCTTAGTTGTAGGATTATGTTCCAGACAGTATATGGTGAAGTGACCTTTTGGCATATTTGTCTTGATCAACATCAAGGTGGATTTGATTGTTTATATAGGAACTTGGGTTGGTATTTTGGTGAATGGAAAGTAGATTGCACATTATACTCACTCTGCATCATTTTCTTTTATAGGATTATTTCATCATTGAATGTTCCTTTATGGTGTTTTAGATGCATAAACTAATGTGTTGTAGTAGGAATGGTTGGTTAGAAGCATGTTTGAGCTAGACTCAGTTGAACTACATGATTGAAGGTTTATTGACTTTTGTTGTGCATGATATTCATATTTTATCATTGTGGCTCCATGATTTTTTTCTCATGGTGTCCACTAATAATATATATAAAAAATTGTCGATGGATTTACTAAATTTGTGGGTGGAAAGGGTGTTTGGGGGAAAATTTTAAGGGTGTTCAGGAGAAAATTTTTCTTCAAAAATTTTTATATTTAAATATTTTGGGGTGTCCACCGACACCGTACTGCAAAACATGGATTCACCTCCACATTTTACACCTCATGGATGGTATCTTTGGAGGATAGTAATGCAGGTGAGATAAGGTTTACTTTGTTTGTTGTAGGTTATTCTTCATGTTATCAGATATGAGGTTGGTGGAGACATCTGAAGTGCAGATTCAGTTGTAAAAGCAAGGGGCAAGGGTGATGTGAGTTTTTGCATATAATTTGGTATGAGCACCGAGTAGATGCATAAAAAATTATATTAGTAGAAATACAAGATGATTACATTGATAGATTGAACATTGAAAGATTAGGTCAAAACTATTTTGATTTTTTAATATTTGGGTGACCATGATGCATTGTTAGACGCTGGTCATGATGCATTGTTAGACGCCACTCATGATGCATTGTTAGATTTTGCTCATGATCTATGAATATGTTGGTCATATTTGACAATTTGAGATTATATTCATCGTCAACATATTGGAAGCTTAATGGGTCACACACATAAGGTGACATTGCCTAATTTAATTAGAAATATTCAATTAAGTAGGACTTGATTGATAGAAGCAAAAAACATGGATGGTAAAATTGAAGTCTATAGGGGATTGAATTGTAAAAGGTGTAAAAGTTACGTCTTTTTGTGTTAGGGCTAAAATTGAGTGGGATTATAAATACCCCTTTTATGCTCTTGGCTGAACATACTAGACATGCTAGAGGTCACTAGGCAATTGAGAATTGTAAGTTTGTGACACAAAAGAGGGCTAGCAGTAAAACTAGGGTTTTTCTTCAGGTTTGGTTACACCTTATCTTTCAATGAAGAAAAATTGTTTTCGGCCTCCTTAAGTAGGTTTTGGCAAGAGTTGTTGTGTGATCACCATTGAAATCAAACACTAGTTAGCTTAGTTCTTGATCTCCTTTGGTTTCAAACACAACCAAGGGTTGTTTGCTCATGATTATGAGATCTTTGAGTTCTGGTATAATTCAAATAAGATGTGTGCGTAGTAATATTTTAAATTACAAGCATAAATAAAGGTATGGTGCTTATGGTATACTCTACTATGATTGTTTGTTTCATTTCCGTTGTGTTCTTTGATACATGTGATGTATGTTATAGTTAATTGTTATCTGTTTGATGTCATATTTTTTGGAGGATAAAAATGCAGGAGAGACATATTTTGTCTTGTTTATTGTAGGTTATTCTTCATGTGAACAGATGATGAGGTTGGTGGAGACATCTTAAATGCAGATTCAGTTGTAAAAGCAACGGGGCAATGGTGATATGAGTTTTTGCATATAATTTGATATAAGCACCGAGTAGAGGCATACAAAATTATACCAAAAGATGATTACTGGGCCGACTGTTGGTAATGCTATTTTAAAAATTGGTTAATCTTTAAGTTTTCTTAGTTAATTAGTGTCAACGATTGATTGAACTTTATCTACAATTGATGAATAGTTGAAATTCATAAACTTTTTGTTTTATATTAACATACTTTTTAATGGCAATGCTATGCATTTCAGAGGAAGAAATTAAAATACAATGAAAATACTGACCTGGCATGGCACTTCAAAGGAAATTTAGTTAGACTGTGATCAAATTGGATTAATTTTTATTTTTTATTTTTGAATATGATGATTTTAAATATGATATAATAACATGATATGAAAAAAAGTATAAAAATTATACGGTTTAAAATGTTAGCAACAAATCTTATATGAATTTAGTTAAAATTAAAAAAATATAATATTTGATATGCCGATGCAAATTTTAATATTGTAATTTGCATGTTCTATTTATGTTAAACATAAAATGGATAGATATAGATTCAAATTTATATGAATTATTATTATTATTTTTAAATAGCAGCGGGTTAATGTGAGTGAAGTAAACAACTTTTTTGATGGATCGAAAAGCAAAAGATAAAAGAAGGAAAAGTTTGTAACATTGTAATGGTGTGCTACCCACAGGCACGGTCCGGATCGGTGGTCGTAAAGTCGGGTCATCGACGACCAATGTAGGGCTGGTCTTAACAATTTTGGAAGGTGGATCCATCCATTCTTTCAATTATTTTGAAGACCAACTATA